GTTGTAGGCCGATCGGACAATGTATTTAGGAGTTACAGCAGTATCATAAACATTGTGTTTGATGGAAAGTGATCAGTCGCCATGGCAACGGAATTTGATGACACCCCATAATACGCCTAGATGTGTTGAGGGCTGCATCGTTATCAAACCTGTGACGTTTTGGGCCGTTTGGAGCATGTTAACTGGAGTTATGAGAAAACCGTGTTTCACGGCGACCATGTTGTTACCATAGCAACGACATTTGACGAAATCTCAAAACTGACACATATATGTGTGTCGAGGGCTTGACGGTTAGCACACATGGGAAATTTGAACACTTTTTACCATTTACACAGGAGTTATAGCAATATCGTGCTTAACGGCGAGGGATGCGTTGCCATGGCAACAGCTTTTGAGGAAAACTCACTATTGTCATATTGATGTGTTGAGGGCCGGACCATTAACTGTCATCTGAAGTCTGGTGCAGTTTGGACCATTTTCCATCGAGTTATGACAACACTGTGTTTCATGGCGAGGGATCTGTCACCATGGCAACGGCATATGATGACATCCCATAATTGGCGTAGAGCTGTTCAGGGCTAGGGTTAAGGACAAAGGAGCCTCATTCACTTTACATTGGGGTTGTTTGCGTGGTGCAGACACGTAAATGTAGCAAAGTTTGTGACTCCACCACACACTGCGGTGTTAAGGAGTCGTGGTGGAGTCACGCATTCTGGTGAGACCAGGTTGGTCTTGCCACATGGCCTTCCCTTGCATAATCTCAAATATTTTGTATTTGTATTTAAGCTACAAACGTGTAACAGAACCATGTCATGTTTGTTGTTCTCTGACACAAAACATCATGTTGAATCAGTCAAAAACAAGATCATTGCCATTGGCATGATGACTTCTGGTTTGGAACACAAAGTTCTGTAAGTAAGTTTCACTTCTTTCGGCTGCTAAACCTTAACTGGTTTTTCACTTATCATCTTGTGTAATCTTTATCTTGTGTTATTTCAAGCTTTTAATTCAGATTGACATGTATGGTATGGGTGTTAGTGTCCCAACAATTCTGTATCTCGTGTAAGTGTATCTGATTATTGCAACACAGCAGCTGCAAGAGAACTATCGATTTTTAGCCGTGTGATTTCATGGATTGTTTATTTTGTTATAACAAAGGTCAAATGTTTCTCAGCAGAAAGTTAACCATCCAGTTCAGCAGTTGATATGGGAGCACCAAAAACTGAAGTTCAGGAAAGAGCCAACGCAAAATACTTCTCCGCTCATGTCTTCTGCTTTAATTCCCCACAGCTTCCAATAAATAGTTGAAAAAGTTGTTTAGAATGAGTATGATGCTTTAAACCAAAGTGTTAATGACTGAAAACCCTGGTTAACATTCAGTCATGTGATTTTTTTTTTAAAACAAACAGTTATCAGAATCAGAATCAGAATATAATTATCATACCAGTATATGCACTTGGCTACCAAAACATGAATAGAGTGTGGTTAAAGTATGTGTGTGATGTCATGTCAATAACAACAGAGTAAAAGGGTCAGGGTTGGGACAAATGTAATTTCCCCTTGTGGATTTATAAAGTATTTCTTAAATCTTTAGTCTTAATCCTAAACAATTGAAAAGTCTTTGCTAAGGAAAGGTAGGGAAAGCTTGTGTTCAAATATTCAAAAAGGTCAAGGAGAAAAATGAGCCATCACAATACTGCAGATAGCTGCATGTCCAAAGAAAGTTGCCATTGAACAAAAAGTAAATAAATAATTAAATTACGATGGTTTGTGTAGTTATAGTACTCAGATCCTTGACTTACTGTGATTAAAAGTATCAAACATCAATGCAAAGATACTTTTTTTAATGAGTAATATGAGCAATTATTTCCTGTGTTCAAAATCCTACTTAAGTAAAAGTACAGGAGTCTTCATAAAGTATCATATGCTGTCTTGTACCTTGGTGGTACTACAGAATATGTGTTGTGTTTCTACTTGAATCTCTATGTACATAAATGTTTTTTTCTGTCTTTGTGAAGAAGTTTGGTCCAAAACCTGTTTGTTTTTGTGTGCTCTATGCAAACATAAAAAGGGGAAACTAACATCACCCTTTTCAAAGTTAGATCTAAACATCAGAGCTAGAGATGCTATGAGATACAAGACCACAGAGATGTGATTAGCTATGATATTGTGATACAATCATGGCGTATCTGCCCCTGAGGTGTGAAAGCATTTAAAGACAATGGTGACCTGATACAGTATCTTCAGTTTGATTATTTTTCATTATTAACTTCTAGATGATGACCACAGTGTTATCCAGTCTTGTTTATAGTGCTTTATTGAACAGGGAATGGGGGCCAAGATTGTATCAAGAGACTTTAAGCCATTGAGTTAGGACAACACCGTGTTTCATGGCGAGGGATCTGTCGCCATGGAAACGGCATATGATGAAACCCCATAATTGACATAGTGCTGTTGAGGGCCGGACCAGTAGACATCATCTGAAGTCTGGTGCAGTTTGGACCATTTTCCATTGACTTAAGACAGCATTGTGTTTTACGGCGAGGGATGCGTTGCCATGGAAACGGCATACGGTGAGATCTCAGATTTCACGTAGAGCTGTTGGGGCATGGACCGGTGATATAAAAGTGAAGATTGGGGGACGATGGGACTGTGCCCATTGGATTTACAGCGACACCGTGTTTAATGGCGAGGGATGCGTTGCCATGGAAACGGCATATGATGACATCCCATAATTGGCATAGAGCTGTTGAGGGCCGGACCATTAACTGTCATCTGAAGTCTGGTGCCGTTTGGAACCTTTTCCATTGAGTTAAGACTACATTGTGTTTTATGGCAAGGGATGCGTTGCCATGGAAACGGCATATGATGACATCCCATAATTGGCGTAGAGCTGTTGAGGGCCGGACCATTAGCCATCATCTGAAGTGTGGTGCAGTTTGGACCATTTTCCATTGACTTAAGACAACATTGTGTTTTATGGCGAGGGATGCGTTGCCATGGAAACGGCATACGTTGAGATCTCAGATTTCACGTAGAGCTGTTGAGGCATGGACCGGTGATATAAAAGTGAAGATTGGGGGACGATGGGACCGTGTCCATTGGAGTTACAGCGACACCGTGTTTTATGGCGAGGGATGCATTGCCATGGTAACGCCATATTAAGTAACATCAAATTTGACGTAGAGCTGTTCAGGGCCGCAGTGTTAACCATCATGTGAAGTTTGGTGGCGTTCTGAGTATGTCAGTTGGCGTTATGACATCGTGTTCCATGGCGAGGGATCGCCTAGCATCGAGCGAACGCGAACTTTGGCGCCAATTCACGGCTACGCCGTGCGAAAGAAAAAAACTTCCGTGATAACTTTGAATTCCCCATGTCTCGAGACGCTACCCGACGAATTTCGAGTCGTACGGATAAAGTCCCTGGGAGAAGATAGATTTCGTGCGGAGGACGAAAACGCGATAAATCGCGTTTTTCCGACGCCAAATTCAAAATGGCCGGCTTCCTGTACGTTATTTTATACCCCTCCAAGAGGCTTTTTGGTTTGTCTCCGCACCCTAGATATGCGTAGCGAGTTTCGTTCGTTTACGTGAAAGTTAAAGTGGGGGGAGTTTACGTTAAAAACGGAAGTGGGCGTGGCCTACGCAATTTTTGACGCAAAGTTCCGGAATCAATTACACATCTGAAGTTGCACCAATTCTGACGCGCGTGCAAAATTTGGTGAGTTTTCACATATGTTGCGGGGGTCAAAGGTTTATCGGTCGCTGCGCGACCGATTTCAATAGGGTCTTCGCCGACCTAGGTCTCAGACCCTAATTACAGGACATTTCATTCGAATGGGTTACAGAGCTTGCCATAAGGCTTAAATAACAATAAATAAGAAACACCAGCATGGGTAATTTAGGGCATTAATGATTTTTTTTAAAGGCTAAAAAAAGGTTTAAGAAGAAGAGAAACAAATAGAGGAGCGATAAGGATAAAGAAGTACGTTTTTAAGATTTCATTTTTAGCAGAAGAGTTTACCATTAAGTTGATTCAGATTTAAAGCAAGTCCTCTTCAGCTGCAGTATTTGAATTACATTTTGTGATTTTGCTTCTTCATGTTTTTAGTTTGGACTCTTGGATCTGTAAGCCGACTGCTTTATGATTTAAACCAGACTTATCGACAAGGAGGAATATTTTAAACATTATTCCAAAACACACCAGAGGCCAATGCAGAGAGCTGAAAAGACCATTGTTTCCATTCTGCACAAAATAAAAGCATGAACATGTTTAACAAACCTGTCTGTAAGGATATTCTGATATTCCAAGTGACTCTAAACAGATTCTATATGGACTTCCTCCAGAAATGTATCACTGTCAACATTTTACCATTGCTTACAAGACACACACATCCTTCAAAACATGCAGTTAGGGCCCAGTGACATTCACTGTGTGGTTAATGTCTGTAGCTCAAGAAGAAATAACACAGTTTATTTTCTACAGGAGACACAGTTTAGGATTTAAAAATGTTTCTGGAGCCTCACATGAAGAAAATAATGAAGTGTGTTCTCGTGTTACTTAGTGCTGCCTAATGAAGCTAAACAAAGCTACAGTAGAGACACTACTGTTTTAGTTCCAAAGCCATCAAAACATATGGACATGAAAAATAATAATAATGAAATACAAATTCAAGACCCTATACCTGGCATTGTTCAAAGAGTTAATCAGGTCAAATCATTCATATTTAAAGGATGTTGCTTTGACGTTTTTCAGTATCTTATTTTTGCCTTTGACCTGTGAGAAAATGCATTGTCAGCTTACTTATAAGTAGGCTACACTGGAAAAAAAGGAGAACTTGAAACTGAGAAAAAGCTGAAAAAAAAGCGTGACTAAATTAGCCTGGACAAGTTTCATGGAGTTTTTGGGAAGTCGCGTTTCAGGAAGTCGTCATCATCTCTGACATCATCTTCGCAACTTTGCTTATTCTTTCTCTCTGACAAACGGAGTGGGGGAAGGGAGAAGTGCGAGGGAGGAGAGAAGGGGAGAAAGGGCGACGTCAGACGTCAGACGGTGGTGGGATGGCTCAATGTGAGGGGAGAAGGAAAGAGAAAACGTCCTGAAGAAAGGAGCCTGGAGTGAATGAGCGCTGGGCTGCACGGGGAACACAGCAGCGGTTCAAAACAAAGGACGGCTTCTTCACGTCGGCTGCAACATCACACCACGTCGGCTCTGTGAGTAGAAGACAATGCGACGAGGAAACACAATGTAGCTCTTTTACGTTAAGATTTCACACATCTCCTTTTTGGCTGGTAGATTCAACTCGTGTTTCTGAAAGTGTCATTTACGAAATGGTCTTTTTTCTGATTGACATACAAGAAGTCTAGCTGACGTTAAAGTTATTCTAACTGTCAGAAAACCTACTTTAAACTTTTTTCTCAGTCAAGCTCCTCTTTGCATATCTATGTATTCCCAACTGTTATGGAGAAAGTGTGCATGCTTCATTGATTCAGATGCTGAAGCAGCCACCTACATACCATTTGAATGGAGGTAGTTGATGAATGTGGATTTGGAGAAAGTGACATTTCTACAACTTGGTGTTCAGGGACACCATCTTGCAGCATTTGACACCACAGCACAGTAGCAATTAGAGAAATCTCCTACACTAGAACCCTAACTATAGCATTTTTTTTGTTATTTTTACTTAATCCATCTTTCACATGTCCATGCAACAGCCCTTTTGCTCTAAGTTTCTCTTTCCACCACACAAGGCCATGTCCTTGAGGTGCAGGGAGGAGGTCAATCTGTGTGAGAGCCACCCATGGAGCTCTCTGCCTGACACACACTGCTCTGAGAGGGGAAGTGGTGCTACATCATAGACCAAACAAAACCAGGAAAAGGTTCAGTGTTTATACTAGCTGAGTTCAAGGACAAACTAAAGTGACATGATGAGAGGAGGGAATTATCACCACCCATTCAGTGTGCTGTTACACTTCTATACTGTGACAAATCAGAGTTTTTGTATTAAATATAATAAATTCCAGGACTGATTTTATGATGAAATTGTGCTGTATATTATGTAAGTGGGATTGCTCTCACCTGCCTCCTTTTCCTAGAATTAGTTTTGACAAGCGCAAACTTGTCAATGCTAAATGGATGGAGGGAGATTTTATTCAAAAGTGAAAAGAAAAATGCTGATGCTTTAAAAACTGTCTTGTGGCTATATGTTAACTGGATTTATAGAGATGTTTACCAGATAGAAGAAAAAATGGATTACTATGCCTCTTCTGTGATTTATTTCGTTCCCTGTATTTGGAACATCAGCAGAAAGTTAATGAAGAAGAATCCATGAAGAACTTGACCGTGATTTATGATTACAACTACCAGAGAATTAAAGACTCCTTGTATGTTATAATATTTACTACTCATTGGCAGTTCTTCACATTGTTGCTTAGTTTCTTACTAGTTATTTTACGTTTTAGGTTACTTGATGAATTTCCTATCTTCTAGGACACTACTGTTCCTCTCCATCTTGCAATTTTGAAATTATCTGTCATGGATCCTGAAGTTCAGTTTTCTGATTTACTGATCTTCTGCAAGTTTTCATATTGTATGGAAACCAGCAGCTACCAGTATAAGCAACTTTAAGTTAGTAATTATTCAACGTTAACCAAAACACCTGTGAGGTCCTTCAAACATCACTGTAAAAGGAACAGTATAGAGTTCTTAAGAAAAATAAGAAGTGAAAAGTTGGCATCCATCATCTTAAAAACAAGCAAGCATAAGAAAAGAGGATGGGCTAGAGCAAGGCCATGTCATTCCTGTCTTTGTGTCAGTGAAATGTGAGGGTCACTCAGGGGCTTTGTGCGTTACAGAAACTGTGGGGCCACTGCAGAGTCAGCGCGGGGAGTGAGGGGCCGGGGTGTTGCGCAGATTGAATAGGTTAGGGGCTACAGCGACTTGCCTTTGAGAATGAGTGAGTGCATTCTGGGCCAACGGTGGCATGTCTTTGAGAGCTGAAGAGTGCGTGAGGGGGCCGGTGTCGGCATGTCTTTGTGCAGCCTTTGTTTAAGTTGAGTGGCACCAGATGAAGTGGGCCGATTTTATTCAGGCTTTTTGGCACAAACACATGCACACAAACGGGCTTGGCTGATACTTTCCTCTCGGGAAGTCGTGCGTTTTGATGCGATTATAGCTTGGACAAGTGAGCACAGGATGGCAGCTTTCACAGTTTATGGCTGTATATTTATTTATATGTTTGTGCGTCAGTAAAGTGGGTTGTATTGTTTCAGCACACTGGTGGAGGGCTCATCACTTGTTGTGTACATCATTTCTACAGACCCCTTTTGTCATCGAAAACCTCAAGCCTCCTCGTTGTATTTGAAAGCTGAAACTTCTGGCATGTCTTCAATCTTAATACACAGTCAAAGAATAACAACTAATGGCTTTAAACATCTTGAATTGTTTTATAGTGTTTAATCTGTCTGTTAAATACATCTAAACTAACTCCAGAGCAAAAAAAAAATGCTTTTGATGGCTGCAATCACTCACAGAAGTTATGAGACACACAACTTGTGGTAAGTGTTTATCCATGGGAAGCATTATCCCTCTTGCAAATCTTTTATTCACTGTTTATGGAGGGCTACCAAAGCAGTGGCTCACATGGTTATGCTTAGCAAGAAAGAGCTCTTTAGGATAGCAGCTTGAGTTGTCTCACATTATCTGGGGAAATTGAGAGAGCTAAACGTATCTCTGTCTGTTTGTTGTGTTTTGCAAGACTCTTTTGTCTTCTCTCCTCTGTGTGTAGCACACTGTGAGAGCAGGTGGATGTTTGCCTCCCTAAGGCTTAGGTGTGACAATCAAAGGGATGTACAACTCATTAGTTCCTCGTGCAAGTTCCATCCTTTTGTTCGAAAGGCTTTGTTCTCTCTACTTCTGATGGTTCGGGTTTCTTAAGTTCACAGATCTACTTTCACACTGCTAAGGGTTCATGAGGCATTTCTGCAAGGTATGGGCGTCTATTCAGACTGGTGTTATGGCTTGCCTGTTCTTACATCATCCACTCTGCCATGCCAGCACAGATACTTTATAAGGAATGGGAAGCCTTCCCTTTCCAATGAATATGACATTTATTGAGATATTGAGAGTTGAGTGTGTAATGGGTGTGTGGGAGGTTCAGTATTCAAGCTACATTGCTTCATTCTCCCTCACTTCACCTGGAGCTCAACGGCATTCTTTTATGAAAGAGGGATATGTTTGGTCCTGCCCAACTCTGACTGTTTCATATCTCTTAGGTTTTTGGATTCTTGGAGATACTGATGGAAATGAAACCCTCATCAGTGGCCTGTGATTTCCTCACCATACACATTTTGTTTGTGTAGCTGTGTGTAGCCTGAAGATGGTGAAGCAGCCTCTTATGTGGTTTTGGTTTGAGGGCCTTCCTCCTGGCTGGTCCAGATGCATGACCAGAGCAGACCAGCTTAGGGAACAGATTGCCTTGGTTTGAGGTCTCTGGTACAGGATATTTGCGTCAAGAGAAAATGAGCTAATCGAGTCCTCCCAGCCCAGATCAACTGGGGGTTCATCGGATCTGGGCGGTGGATCTAACAGCTTGAATACATTTTCCTAAACAGGGACACGCTCTTGCCATTATAGAGAAACAAAAGAATTTCCATCATCTCTCAGAATTGTTTTATTTTTGTAAATCAGTGGGATTGTTTATCTCAAACTCTGTGTCTCACCTCTTTGAAGAACAATCTGGGTCAACTGAGCTTCAGATCTCTGCACCACCCACCTTCAGTCCTCATTCACTTTCACTCTCAAGAGCACACTACAGCGGCCGGCCCTCATTACCTCAGCGCATTGGCATGCTACCAGAGCCTTTGCTGATATCTCGGACCAATTACTCTAGATTTACTACTCAGTGGGCTCCTTTAACTAACGGCCAACCGACTGACCCTCATATGCTTTGAGGCTTTGAAAGGGCTCCACTCAAACTGACGCTTCATTAGTAGACATGTTATTGAGCATATACTGTAGGGCTGCCTGGCCAAAAGGTTTTCACAGCCAAACCTGTAGTCCACATGGCTGGCTGCTGGCCCGTGGTTTGTATTTTTTGTAAATTCCAAAAGAGGAAGTTTGTCTCAGAGCAGCAAGGACACTGTTCATGTTGGCCGGCTCAATGAAGGTTTGGAGAACTGTGTGTAAGTTGGCTGCAGGCCTTCACTACATGCATATAATCCTGTGTGGCAGCACTTGGGTTTTTGTCAGGACATGAAAACAGTGTGGGAATGAGCTGGTCCAGATCAGATGCAGAACCACATTACTCCTTTCATCTTGTATAGTATCTACTGTATCATCCGTTAACTAAGCATCGTGGAGGATTCATGAAAGAAGCACAAGACCCCATGACCGGTCAGTGTTAGTGATAATGCATATCTATGTCGGTGTCTCCACAGGCACATGGAGAGCTGCAGTGAAAAAGATCTGACAATTCTTTAAGATACATATCTATCAAAAGCAACTTGGAGGCCGAGACCTCTCACCCACAGCGCCTTGATCGCGGGGTTATGAATAAGTCATAATTCTGAGTGTCTGATGTGCCGTGAAGTGTAAAACACTCCTCCCTCAGCGCTCACTCAAACACACAAAAAGTCTTGACCTTACCAAGGAAGTGCTGTTGAAGCACTTTCCCAGAAGTCTGTTTAACAACCAGCAAACAAGCGGAAAGTATTCATCACTTTCAGGATGTAGTGACCTTTCTGCTCGCTTAATGACGAAGCAGCATGCACCCTAACACGCACATACACACATGCAAGCATGCTAAAACACACACACAAGCAAATCACCAGATTTCTCAAACTCAAATGATTTTAACACCAAAAAGTGCTAAATTCATATTTAGATGATCAGCTAATATGTAGCATTTAAAAACAACTGATCCTTTAAATAGAAAATAAATATGTTAATTGGGTTATGAAGGTGTTAGAATCATAATGTTCATCCTCGAAGACAACATACTTCGTCTAAATTCTCTGCTCTTTACCCCACTAATACAAATAAAAAGTCCCTTCATGTTTCCCCCTTCCTCTGAGTGCAGTCCTCTGTGAGACTCCAGAGAGCCGTGATGAGGTATGAGTGAAGATATTTCCTGTAAGTACTGGGGGAGATCACACACTGTGCCTTCTGACTACCTTGACAAGGCATGTTTAGGCTCCATCCCGGTAGTTTAAAGAGGCAGAACTGCTAATTTGAGGGCATTGTAGTCTCAACCGAGAGCACCATGCCCGGCCTGGAGGGGCTATAATCTGCTGTAAACAGAAGACTCAACGTTCACTGAGAATCCAAAACTGTTGAAAGGGTGGCTAAAAAACTAAAACCCATTCAAACAAACATAGGCATTTACACACATATGTTTATTCAGGATGCACACACACACAACATCAGTAATTGCTGTAATGCTAAGGTTTGCTTGAAATAGTGCTAAAAGACGGTCAGGCAGAGTGCGTGCTGTTGTTGAAACCATTGAAACTTCTGCAGAATGGAAACTTTGATGACAATAAGGACAGCTATGATTTTGAGAGGAGGCCTGGAATGGACTAGAATAGAATAGGGCACACCCCAAACCACCCTCAAACACATAAACACAGTTCAAATATGAACATCTGATTATATTTCTTGTTGCTGTCATTCCTGGAAGTAGAAACACAAACGCAAACATGTTTCTTCAGACATTTTTTTCTATCATTTTGGTGGAAACTTGCTAGAAAATTCAGATTGAAAGACTTTTTAGCAGTTTATCCTGACAATGCATGAATGTCATGCAGTTTGACAGACACCAATGCTTCCTGTTTGCTTCCTGCTTGTTACGGCCGTTTCCTTTTTTGGCTGATAATAATGTCATTGTAGTGTCTTTATCCATGTCTGCTATAACATTCAGCTCAGTTGAAACTGAAATGTACTCCCTCAGTTTATCTGGGTGCAAGCTGGGTAATTATATGTAGACAGTGTATTCTGGCTGAGGGTTCTTGAAATCTCGAATTAGGATGCAAAATGGTAGAATGAGAATAAAGCAATGTTAAGCAGAGACGTTCCTGTGAAATTCTGCTAGAGCAAAGTAGATGGTAAGATACAAACTTGACGGTGAATGTTAGCATCAATATCAAATTCAAGACAAAGCAAACTGGAAGCACAACAAACCCGTCACAACTACAGCAGAACTCCTTAAAAACACAACCGTGAAGTGCAGACATGAGTAAATCCCGCTGAACTGAGTTATGCCCACATCTTAAGTGTTTCACATCTCATACCTTAGCTCTTTAGATGTTGTCATGCCTGTGACTCTGTTTTGCTGGTTTCTACTCGACCCCGGCCTCAGATGAATCAGTCAGCCTTTTAGCTGCATGAGATAATGCTCCTAGTTTGTGGCCAGGGAATTGTGACTCAGATCATATCAGACAACATGCAGGATAGTGTTCATTCCCTGCAGATGTAGTGGGATGATTTACCATCCTGACTGGAGGCGTGCACGTTATGGATAACCTAATACCACATTCATTCCCCTCAGGTCGTCAGACTGACTTTTAATTAAGGTTTTTGGACAGAAGTTTTCATCACCAACAAAATGACACATTCAGTAAGAATGAGAGCATTAACATGATAACAGTCAACTCATCTGTTTAGCTGCCCTTCCCTTTTAATGTGAAAGCTTTGAAGAATTGCTTTCATTTTATAGTTAACAGCAACTTCTCTTTCTAGAAAGAATATCCTGCTACAAACCTCACTGTCAGCAGTTGAAAGGGACCTTTACTTCAGTAGGAAGAGCTGTTTCCCCCCATGGGAGAATCGATCGACAAAACGGAGCTTTGTTGGTGGAATTGAGAATATGGACAGCATCATCTAATTACAGAGCAGGAAAGATAGCTAAATCCATGCGGAGCAGAATAAATCAGTACATCATCACAGATTTTTTGAAGTTGCTTTAACAAAGTTATAGCTGGGAAGATGACCTCTACTGCATCCTCTGTTACAGAGAAATTATACTCATGCTGATGGGAACGTCACAAGACAAAGTAATCCTCACCTAAAAACAGGAACAATCCTCAAATGAGATTAAACAAATAGGCATTTTGCTGTGATAATCCTTGAATTAGATTCTATAGATACTACTAGCGCTATAACAGCAGAGTCAACCTTGCTGTGTTTAAACCCAGATCCCACATATTTCCCTGTGTGTATGATAATGCTGGATGATGACATCAGAGGGTTTCTTAGAAAGCCTCGGTGCTCCCATGAGACCATAGCTGTGTCGAGGCCAGTTTGGTCATGGCAACTGTATCATAACATAGCAACAGTATCACAATCACTCTGATTGGGACTAATTTACGCTCACTCAAATACACAGACTTCCACCCTGAATCAAATTCAGACACACATGCAGCATTGAGCACTCAAGTCATCTGTTACAAGTTATACTTTTTTTTGTAATCAAGTATTGATTGCTGTTGAATAAAGAACAAAGACATTTGATTTTGATGCAGACTGTAATTTGAATAGTGAACTCCAGTTGGTGTGACGTGTGTGCTTGCCCCTGCAGTTAGGATCTGGCATGTTACCCTGTGTGTTACTGTGAAATGTGACATGCTGTAACAGAGCTCTGCGCTGATCTGTGCTGACAGCTGCTCAGTTGCAAAACACACAAGGCTCCTGTCATTTCACAGATAAAATCAATGACTAAAAGGCCAGTAGTCACAAGTAAAATGAAGACAGTATAAATGTGCAGTTTTGTGTGTGATTCATCGTCCAACAGACATCTGAAAGTGTTGCTCATGCTACACTCGCAGCTGGCTGAATATGAAGTAGCTTACCATGGGAAGATGTTGGGTCCTAATGGATGACAATACACATTAAACATCCTGTGTAGGACAAACACGAGGGAGTTTGATGATTCATGGTGGATGGGAAATAATTTGCTGTTCACCCTTCTTATCCTGTGTCAGGCGTTTCTCCCCCTTATCCCCCCTTTCCCCCCCTCTTCCCCCCTTTTCCTGTCAGTTACTCCTACTTCATACTGTATGTTTACAGATTCTGCTTGTCTCTGACCCTCTTGTGTCTTTGTGTCTATAGGTGTGCTTTCTCAAACGTTACCATGGCTGAGGGAAGCTGCTTCGGTGCGTTGTAGCTGTTTGGGATGACCAGAGCCAGACCTTGCCTCATTAAAGAAGAAGAAGAGGCGAGAGCAAAGAATACCGACTGAGAGGGGGAAAAACATCTGCTGAGAGGATAAGATCAGAACAGGGAACCTACTGGAACTTTCTCTTTGTAGTAAAGGAATTTAAACTCCCCAGTATCAGTCAGTTGAAGGGTTCAAGAATTATATATTTTTTTACTTTGTGACCATCTCAGAAAGAGTGAGCATCATGTGCCATGTTATTGTAACCTGCCGCTCTATGCTCTGGACACTACTCAGCATTTTGGTGGCCTTTGCTGAGCTTATTGCCTTCATGAGCCCTGATTGGCTGCTGGGATCCCCCCGCTCGGACTCCAGTGCGAGCGGGGCGGGCGTGGACTCGGGGGAGTACCGGCCGTCTCTCGGCCTGTACAGCCGCTGCCTTCGTGTCGGGGCCCGGGGAATTGGGGTGAGCTGCGGGCCCTACGCTCGGACATTTGGAGAAGTGGCCAGCGGCTTCTGGCAGGCGGCCATGTTGTTTCTGGCAGCAGGGATCTTAGTTCTAGCAGGAGTCGCTTGTATCTCCATCTTCAGCCTGTGCTTCCAGAGCATCCTGAAGAAGAGCATATTCAACATCTGTGGACTGCTCCAGGCTATCGGAGGTGAGATGTCCGTTTGAGTTTATGTTTTTCATCAACTTAATCAAGTGTTCATTAGGAGTAGACATGAAAGATTTGAATGAGATAAAGAGATATCCGACCACAGGGCCAACAGGAAACCTACAGTAATATACATTATTTGTATATACTGCAAACAACTTAAGAAACTCAAGAACTTGAATTTTCAAATGTGCAAAATTACATTTTTCTTTCCTTTAGTTAGTTCTTATTTTGCAATATATCTTAATTTCAGACATTTAATTATTGTGTCCTTCTTAAAAAAGGCTGGTGGACTATGTGAACACTAAATACAATGGACATATGTACTTTTATAATAATGTTGTCACCAAACTGAATGAAAACTATTTCCAGACAAAACAAGATGAGGATCTCTGATCAGACTTCTGTCAAACAAAAATCTGGATCAAAATTATCAAATATTTTGTGTTAGTTAAGTACATTAGAAGTTAAAAAATAAATAGATTGGAAGTTGCTACAATAATCCTACCTGTATTTTTCAGTGACTGAGTTCAGGAAATGTAGGGAAGAGCCATGGAGAAATTCAAAATGCTGAGCAGCTGGATTGCATTTATCGTTGCTAATGCTAATAATCTAGGATCCCGGACACAGAGTTTATAGTGGTTACATGTCTATACAAGCCTATGATGGTTGTATTATCATGCCTAGCCTTCAGGGAATGCTTGTGTTGTTATTAAGTTTGCAAGTTGAAACATCTACGTTTATAAATTGTCATCTAGCGGCGTTCCTTCAAAATGTTCCTAGTTGTAGGTTGGATATTCCAACCAAACCTCTCCAAGTCTCCTTCATATTTCTACAACAATGGCCACAGGTGTGTTTGATTGCTCATGTCTGTCAAGTAGGTAATCTATCATTATGTGACATCATTGTGAAAGCGGTCGAATGGGGTCTTTCCTGTCAACACAAATCAAATGCTTGTCAGCTGAAAAATACATGTATTCTTTCCCAGAGTTGAGTCACCATGTTCCCAGCTGCACTGTGATCTGTTTGTGCTTTCTTCCCCGATGTTTACGCGTACGTGACTAAACCACTGGTCTCATCCTCTGCTATGCTTCCAGGCCTGTTGCTGATGGTGGGCCTCATGCTGTACCCTGCTGGTTGGGGATCAGAGAAGGTGATCAGCTACTGTGGCGCTGAGGCCTTGCCCTTTAGGCCGGCCCTCTGTTCCCTAGGCTGGGCCTTCTACGCCGCGATAGGAGGAACGCTGGGGTCCTTCCTGTGTGCCGTTTTGTCTGCACAGGCTGAGATTGCCACCTCCAGCGACAAGGTCCAGGAGGAGATTGAAGAAGGGAAGAGTCTAATCTGCCTGCTCTGAGCCTTCACAAAACCTGGGGAAACCATCCTTGGTGTCTTTTCTCTTTTACACACATTTTTAGATCTCAGTGGAGGAGAACAGACATTTCTTTCTGCAATTTTCTTTATGATGAGATCGCTGGTTGTTGAAAAGATCGAAGCCCTGAAAACAAAATATTAATATGCAGATCACGCTACCAATATCATCCTAGCTAATGATAAACATGGACAAAGTAAAACGTATATTTCCCTTCTACAGCTGCAGGTTGAACTGCCAAAAATGCTCTTGTACAGCAGCAGGCTAAAGAACATTACCTGCAGACGTATCCAATGTTTTTGAACAAGATAGTGTTTATTTTTCTAATTATCTTTGCCATAAACAAACCACTGTGCTGGAGAAGCAGGAGATTAGTTAAAGAAATCAGTAGTCGATGAGTCATTAGCATTTTTGTGGACAGGTTAATGACTGCAAGTCAGTGCGTATGTTTATAACGTCATTATAATGTTCATTCACACGGTTCACCTGCAAAACGTAACAAACCACTGAATACTAGCAGATGTGTCCATTTAGACTCCCAACAAGGGCTTGGGAGGGTGTATGTCTGGGAGTGTGTGTGTGTGTGTGTGTGTGACAGACATTTACTGTTGTGTTTTCTAAACTTCTTTATGATCTGATTGTGTGGCACAGCAGGACTCTAACTTTCCATATGCCACTTAAGGGATCATTCACTTTAAAGGTGGTTTCCCTGTTAAATGGATTGTTTGTGGGTCTCTTGCAGCTTATTAACTGGCAGAGTGTGTGTGAACAGAACCGAGACTCGCCATGTGTTTCTCTATGGTGGACTTTCATGAGGAGATAAAGCAGGCTGCACCAGAGATTATCACGGGTTACCTTACGACACAGCACACAGACGAGATCTGGTTTGTAAAGATGCCCAAAGAACCGGTTACATTTTTAAAAGGCTTTGTTGAGCTTTTGCTAAATGAATACGACCTGGGTTTTCAGTGAGGCTTTGATTAGGGCAGACCTCTCTGTTTTGTTTGGTACTTTTGGAGATCAGAGTATTGTATTTTGCACTTGGTTCTCAATTCATTTCAAATTGCTTCATAACTTCCTAACCCCCATCAAGTTGCTGTAAATGTAACATCATGTGATCACTTTTATTATTTGTAGATAAGATGTGCAATAATTCAACTATATTGTCTCTGCTGTGAGAGAGAGTGGGCTGAGAGGATGAGACGTTTCTAGTCTGTCTGTGCTAAAATGTATATGTTGACTGTACTGTTTTGTTACATTAACAAAAGGGTAACAGCATCCGTGGCACATTGTATAATGCTGCATGTATGAGGTTGATATGTGTGAGAGATCTGTCTGTACTTTGTACTCGAATAAACCAGGCCTTCTTTAAATATATCTGTGATGAGTTTTAAAACATGTATTTTTCTCTCGGTTCCTTTTTTCATTTTGCTTCCCTTTTAAATCAAACTAAGGAAACACTGACACCTAGAGACGAAGAGTAGACGGAACAGAACATTTGCTTTCCCCCCCCCCCCCGTCCGAGATTCACAAGCAGAGATGCAAGATGCATGCAAAGTTTTATTACATTTACTTTGGCAATCCTCTTAAAACCTTACCTTAATGTAAGACGTTTTGGTTGAATTACTGTCGACTTCTGTACGTTCAAACAGAAAAGAGGGATGTTTCATTTGAAAGGATTACTTAACTCTGATCTGAAGCAAATATTTCAGACAATCTTTTACACAGAAAAAAAGTTCTGTAACTTTCAGGAAATAAGTCAATCAATATTTCTTTCAAATTTTATTCCATGTTAATACCATAAATATACAAAACTCAAACTATTTCACATGCAACAAAGGCCAGACAAGAGTGCATTACGTTTTCTTTTTACATGTGATTGATAATGGGGATCAAATTTTCAACTTTACAAAATATACAAGTGTCCCTTTTTGAATAGGTTTCTTCTCTGATTCAGTGAAATAACATGGTCACGGGTCAAAAACACAGTGATGTGTCGGCAAACTTCAAATACATCGTTTATACTGCGGACCAACTTGCCCAAATACATCAAGAAATGACTCTCTGTGGCATGGCTTCATTTGACAACTTTTCAAAACTTTAGACACATGGGAATCATGTGGGTGTTTGTAGCAAAATAAAAGTAATATCTTAAAGTAAAACATGGCAAGGGAACACATCACTAACCAAGATTTAAAAACAAATCTATATGGACATTTGGTAGATTTCTCACAGCTTTTCTGCACAGAATAACACTTTAGGGCCTTTCATACCAATCCTACACATTCTCATCCATTCCAGCACATCTTGCAGGGTCAAGTTGCAAAGTCATTAAACACTCTTAAATCTAGCTGATGCTATGATCATGTCATTACAAAACCACACAAACATAACACATCATGTAAAATCAAACCAAACGAAATGGAAAATGCAAACAACTTAAATTACACCATAAATAAAAACGCTTGTCTTTTGCACTAAGTTCAACGTAAAACAAGAAAGTGCAATGAACTTAAAACAAAAATATTAACAAACAAAAACAATACTGTCGAGGCGTTGGCTGATTTCCTAACAAATCATTGATCGTCAACTTGGTTCTATTCACAGGATTATTTCATCCACTATAATGTTCGGTCCATACATTTGTAAAACCGGCATCACCAGTCATCGTGCACAGCTTCAGACGTTCACCACCACTACGAGGTGCTAAAGCGCGACAAATAACACACGTCCATATTTCACTTCAGTGACAGTAGTCTGTACAACTTAGTTCTGAATAACACTGTTATTATTGTATATAAATTAATTCTTTTAGTCATATCACTGAATCCTCTCTTACTAAATGTTCAATTTAGATATGAAACTTCTTATGCCAGAGGAAAAACAACTGGACTGACTGCTTTCGTCTTTAGAAAAGCAAATGGAGTGTTAGCTATGTTGTGGAGGTAAACACAGTATCAATGTTTCACTTTTTTATGTATGCAGGTTAATCTTAACCAATGTCATCGTCAAAGAAAGGCTGTTCACTTCTCTCCGTCCTCCCTATGAATGTGTCTTTTTCCAAAAGAATAATGACAGCACAAGATTCATAGCAGCGTTAGTTTTAAACCAAGTGTGAAGTGCTACAAAAACAACTGAGATGAAGCCACACAGTAGTCTGTTAATGTCACACCTAAAGTACATAAAGAAAAGTGGATATTTCTCATGTGTTTCCCTTTTTAGTTGCACCTGGCCATGAAAGCATCTGACTGACCCTCTTTTGGGTTTGTGGTGAGAACTGGTGACCCTGCTGACCTGGGGGTTCAGTGTGTCTTCACAAATAGATCCAAACATCATCAATCAGTCAAACAGGGACATGCACTGACTTCACAGCTCACTTCACACATAATCCAACTAGGGAAAAATAGGTAGGCCGACATTCCTCTCCCTAAACCAGTTCCCACCTGTAACCAGAGAAAAGGCTAATAGTGGACACTGGCTTTGAAAAACAGCTACGTTGAGTGTGCTGAACATGCATGTCTTCATCATGCTGTCAAATCTTATGAAGCTATCCCACTTTGGTGTTTGAAGTATAGCTCACAAACAGGGAATATTTCAGAAATAAGTCACTGCTAAGGGCTGCAGGAAGGTCCTAGATAAAATAATACTGAAATACTTTTACTAATATGAATGACCAGGAGTGTATTCATCTCAGAATAGAAGCACAGATGTAGGACAAGGATGATTAACCTTTCAGATCTAAATGAAAGAGTTCTCGTTAAGTGAAGTACACATTCACGCGCAGGCCCAGCCATACAAACACTCTCTGTACTTTCATTTTGTGACCAAGAAAACAGAACTATGTGCAAAACACCATGATCATATTATCACTTTTCAATAATCTATACTGAATTGACCAGGCAGGAAGCTGTCTGGAGGTCATCACCATGACAAAAATAAGGTATACTAGAACTGCAACCTCTGCCTGACTTAGAAACACCTCAACGGGACAGGAGGACGGGGAAAGAGGAGCGAGTTATGAAATCCCACACACTCAGAGCACATCTTGAGTCTCTTTGTGGATGATTCAACTATGTGAGCAGACAGCCATCTGACTGAGAAGCCGACAGGAAGGATGTAGGAGAATTTTTACTAAAACTGGATCTTAAGTGAAGGTGGACAACTCTGGTTACTTTTTTTTTAGCAACGTGTGTAGGCCAATCTTAGAATAACAACATTTATAAAAAGAATTCATTTGATCTGAGAGCCTGCAAGGCCAGAGTTGTACACCTCCAACATTTGTGTGTGTGAGTGTATGCTTGTATTTGTGAGCATGTGTGCATGTATGTGGGCGCGTCTGTTTATGGCTGAGGTTTGAAGGCCCCACGAGCAGCATTGGTTGCAGCATTAGCTGCGGCGTTGGCGGCCGCAGTCTGGACGGTCTTGTTAGACATGACCCCAGTTGCAAACTCTTGCTGAGCCTTCTCAAAACTGGCCCCGGTGGTACGATACAGTGCGTGCACCTGGAAAGAGCAGAAAAATATAAATAAGTTATGTTATACAAGTAAGGTAATATTAAATCTCCCGGCATGCCTTTGGAAGAATTACACGATACAGTTAGTCAGAGGTTTAACTTCCTGGCTCATCACAACACTGACATTTGGCTCAACATTAGTAGTGACGCACAGTATTCTGTTTATTCTTGTCACTTTGATAGTGCCTGCTTGCACTCACATTTCATAATGCAGTCAGCTTGTTAGTCAGAGTGCATCTCCCCACTCTCTATTCAAACATTTACTTATAATGTTGATAGCAATGGTGTTTAACTTATTTGCATATATTTTAACTTTATTATCATGGGCAGTCTCCAATAATGAGATGCTAGCTATTCAGGTAGAAACGCAGCCGGCGCTGATATGTTTTGTGTGTGATTGTGTTACCTTTTTAAACATGATGAGCGATCCCACGGACAGCGCAGTGAACAGAGCTGAGATCAGCACCATGATGATGCCCACTGGGATGTTGGCGTTCAGACCAGTTAAAGCTGCGATCCAACCACTACCAAAACAAAACAATAACAATGTAAGTAATCTTTAGCACTTACTCATAGAGTTACAGAATCAGTAAAGGCACAATTACTAACCATGTACCCCAGCCAGCGATGCCAATACTTTGTAAAACGTGAACGCCAAACTGACAGATATAGATGAAGAAGAAGACAAAGAAGCGGAATGAACTGTCACTCCTGTAGAGGACACAGAGAACAAGGTAGTAAGAGTGGGCTATTAAATAAAAAGAGGGTTCATTAAACAGGAATTGATGTCTGAAGGTCTGGCTTTATTCATGTCTTAAAGGTAGGGTAGGTAAGAATGGAGAAACCAGCTCGAGTAAGCTAGAATTTGAAAGTACACAAGAGATGGAAGGCTGACAGGCAGGTAGGCCATCCAATTATCTGACCCGGGCCGGGGCAGATAATTGGTCGTGCTTTTTACAGCGCCACCGCTTCCACAGATGAAATATTTGTATGTATTTATTGTCAAAGCATTTAATTTATTCATTGCTATCGGGATGTTAAGAGCATTCCATGGAATATAACAAAAAGTGTTTCTGAAGTGAATTACCTACCCTACCTTTAACTTGGTACTTCATTATAGGGTTGGAAAAAAAGAAGAGGATTAAGAATGAGCATCAATAACCTCAAGAAGTAAGAGCATATTAAGGTCAAATGGCCACTGCTTTTTTTTTTATTCATACTTGGATCACATACTGCTAAGCTTCATTTGCACACATCATGGCTGTGCACAGAGAACTGTTCTCTAATAATAATAATAATAATCTCAATGTTATTTTCCATGTATCTGCTTACCTAAAAGCCCCGTAAAGCGGTCTGTACCAGCAGACAAAGGAACAGGGAGTGAACAGCAGGAACCATAGCATGGCCAAGCCAAAATCTACACCGCGAGATGTATCCACACAGAACCAGGCCAGGCAGCCGAACATGTTCACAAAGAGCGTGCATGCATGGACTGGGAGAAAAACAACAAAATAAAAGACACAGTTAATCATAATTTATGCTCAGCATAAGTACACATATTTTAGTTTTCTAATGTCCTTGTTGTTGATGTGCTCGTGTGTTTAATGTCCAAATTCAATGCAGTCTCACAATCCCATATATTGCATTGAAGAGAAGCCAAGTGTGATCACAGGTCACAGGTATAGGAGGCAATACAGCTCATTATGGGTGTGTTGGATGTTCCACTTACACATCCAAAGGTTGTACATGATCTTCACGGTCTTTTGGAACTCTACAGGAATGTCCACTGCAATGTCGTGGTAGAAACATGGACCAACGGGGAACTTCTCTGGCAGTGGAGGCCAGTTGTTCTTACGCCCTGTGTGGACAAAGGCAACAGTGTTTTAATGATAAGCAATGTAAAGAATAAGAGTTTTGTTAAGTTAGATTTTATACTATGAAGTATTATACTTTGAAGCAACATGTGTGTGTACAACGATAGAAACAAAATGTACAGTGTATAGTACAATCTACAAATGAAAAAAATACATAGAAAACCTGTATTTTGGTTAAATCTAAAGCATTGTGATTACGGCATATAACCTGAAATATGCAAACAAATATTAAGGCGTGAGTAAAATCTTTGTCACTTTTTTTATTCGAAATCGCCTGGGTATTTTGATGCCTTAATTAGATTAGCAACCCTTCGTAGAAAACGGGGGGTTACGTATTGTAACCCTAGTTCTATAAGCACAGGCGGAGCCCTCTACTGGACTCTATGGGTACTACTCTCATCAATGATACGCGAGCGTTCACACACTGAAGTTGTATAAACGTAGCCGGCCAATCAGGGCGAGCCTACCTGAATGCGCGCGCAGGCCCACAGTATATAAGGCGGCTACGCCTCCTGACTGTCATCCTACACCCTCTTCAGCGAGCGGCCTAGGAAAGACAGGGCCCCTAGGTAGAGGGCTCCGCCTGTGCTTATAGAACTAGGGTTACAATATGTAACCCCCCATTCTATCTCACACAGGCTCTGCCCTCTACTGGACTCTATGGGTACAGTAGGTGGAGCCCCGATGGATAAACACCCTGTCGCCCTACAACATCGACCCACCACACTGCCCCTGACCCAGCCACCGCACCCCAACTTCCCATCATCCGGTTGTGACCGTGGAGAAGTCGGGGCCGCAGCTTACTTGGCTGGGTAGAGCCTAATTGGTCTGAATAAGCCCATAGCTCCACCTTGCAGGTGCCAGCGCAAGTGACTATACACTGCGCACTACGTTTCCCAGGTCCCTAAGGAGCATGGGGAGAACGTAAGTGCACCATGTCCCCCACACTCACACACGCTTACATCGTGTAGAGTGTGCATGGACCGTAGTGGGGAAGGCTCTCCCCACCTGCCCATAGGCAGGCGGGGAGTCTTCCAGCCCTGTATTGGGATTACTGCGCACCACGTTTCCCAGGTCCCTAAGGAGCATGGGACAACGTAAGTGCATTAGGTCCAAGGGGGTCAGATACAGCTTACTGACCCACAGCCCTCCTCCTTTCACCAGTCCTGTGTTGCCCCAGCAAGCACCAACGATGAAAAGGGAGCCAGACATGTCTAATGGCGCATTTCCACTACACGGCCTCGCTCGGCCTCGCTCGGTATGGCTAGGCCTCGTTAGGACTGGCTCACTTTATGGCGCATTTCCATTACAGTTTAGGAACTGGGGTAGTATCTATAGTAACGCAGTGTAGGCGGAGCCGTGACGTCATCTTCAATGAGCACCCCAGAAAAACAACACAGCCGTTAGCTGTTAGCACTCAGAGCTCACAGCTCCTCATATCTGTTCAGAAACTAGACAAAAGTTAAACAAGTACAAACCACAGACTGTCTGTGTCATGGCGAATACAGTCGCTGGTTTATTTATGTCTGTATAGGCCGTTGTTGTGAGTGTGGACGGTCGGAGCATATACTGCGTTAGCTTAGCCAATCTCCATTTAGAAAACACGCATTTTAAAAGGTTTTTCGCCTGCCGTCTGTCTGCAGACTTGTCAAAGCATTAATTCATGGTTTTTACTAACCGGTATCAGTATGTTGTTACTTCGGCATCATTTTGAAACGTGTATTACAATTAAATCACGGTCAAATATGTTCATCTTGTTGTAGTTGTAGCCCCCTTGCCAGCGATTCTCTCTCTAGTTTAGCATACTCAGCCCGACTCAGCCTGGTTGTTCCTGGCCCTAGAACCACGATTTTATGGGGCCAGAAAAACTGTGAATTGGGACCCGCTAGCCGGTACTAGGCCAAGTGGAAACGCAACCAAAGACAGGCCGCTGACGTCACAGCTCTCTTAAACGGGGCTCCGCGCTGTAGTGGAAACGCGCCATAAGAGATACTTTTACCTTATGAACGGGGCTGGCGTAGACCAAGACGCCGCCGTGCATAGGTGGACGACTAAAGCCGTCTAGCTGTATAACCCTCGACCTGGAAGAACTCCTTAGGTTCTTGGGAACAGAGGAGGGGTTCGGCCTGAGTGTCGCCCTGCTACGGTCACCACGAACCAGAAGGCAATTCGGGTGCACCGATAGAGCGGTCAGTTCGCATACTCTCTTGGCAGAAGTCAAAGCAAGCAGCAAAGCTGTTTCTTTTTGCTTCTCTCTCTCTCAATGATAGCGCCTACAGGGAGGAGAGCTCCAGAGGCTCAACGGTTCTGTAACCAAAGCCTTGAGCACCAAGGCAGTGCGGGGTGGAGACATGCACCACTGGGCGCTGTCCCCTGATCCCCTGCAAAAAAACGCTTCATAAGCGGTTGGCTAAAGACTGGTCTGCCACCAAATCCCGCATGACAGGACGAGATGGTTGCTGCATACACCTTGACTGTGGCATGAGCAAGCCCCTTGTCCACCAGTAGCTATAGCTAGGATAGAATAGAGCCCAATGTACCGGACAGAGGCTCTAGACTCCCTTCCTCGCACCACGTCTGTCTGTCCTCTGACAGAGTGGCACGTAGCCTGCCCTCCTTCTCGATGGGGCCGCCACAATTAAATATCGTCCGCCACAAATGGATCTCATAAAAAAAAAGAAAAGTATTATTTTTTTATTTTTTTGGTGGTGGTCTAATGGATAGTGAGGTGGGCTGATGATCGGAAGGTTGCGAGTTCAAATCCTGCCTGGAACACCACTACTAGTGTGCCCTTGAGTAAGGCACTTAGCCTTCGGTTACTCCAGGAAGAATGTCCCTGTAATTGGTCATTGTAAGTCGCTTTGGAATAAGGTGTCTGCTAAATGCCTAAATTGTAAATTATATTTTTGGGAAAATAAACCCCACAGATCCTCAACTCCGGTGTGTTTCACTCATTAACAACGCAACACAGAGCAACAAGAACGTTGTCTACAGTAGCCATGAACTCGCATGTATTATCTTATTTGAGGGGGGGTGGATGCGTGGACCACCCGAATAGGTTAAGGGGCCGATTTTCTACTGAGGTCCTTGAACGCACCGCGGCACGCTCTCGCAGGGCCGCGTGCTCCGTCATAATGTCGTCTTCACACAGACGGTGAAATGCATTAATCGGAGCTGTCACACTAGGCGAGGTGTGTTTTCTGACAACAACACGCCGGCCATAATGTTCCTGCACCCGCATAGTATTTTGACAGCACTTCCTGCAGTTTATCACACTCACATGCGTGCGCCCACCGGCTGCCTCCTTTGCTGGAGTTACATCTGGGGCGGCGAGTGGGGAATCGTGTCTCATAATGGGTGCCCAGTTAACATTGTATGAAACGGACCTTGCCGATTTCAACGAGACATTATGGGGAAATGTGGAATTGTGGAGAGAGATGACTCTTACTCTGGGATAAATGCAATTGTTTTTATTCAATGCATTCGTCACACACACATCACTTTTCATGACTTTACAGTGGGAGGAGGCGGAAGAACTCGCCCTCGCGTCTTGGGTGGTGAGGCACACAGCTCTCGCCGCCGGGACGCTTCCTCCCACAGCCCGTCATTTCCGGGAGGACGGCCCACCCCACCCCGAAGCTCTCTGGCGGCGCGGAGCCGGAGCAGAGGCCTGTCGGGATTGCGCAGCCTGTCCCTGCGGGTGCTGGTATTGAGCCGGTTCCGCGGGACCAGCCGAGGAGGTAGAGGGAGGTGCGGGAGCCATGGGTGCTCTGAACCGGCGCCTTTCCCTCTTTCTCACCGTAGCGCCACGCTCTCCCCTTTGAGGAAGAGCCAGAGGCAACATACGGCTGAGCTGCGACTGTTCTTTCTGAAACGCTGTGTGTCCGATGAGATCGATCCAAAGAGCCCTTCCGTGGATACGGGGGCCCCAAGGAGATCATCACGATCCTTCCTGGAGAGAGCCGTGAGTCCCAGCCAGACGTCGCGCTTTTTCTTTTGATCCCACTGTGGCCAGGGACATTACACGGCCAGCTGCGGCGTGAATGGCACCGCTTCGGCCAATCCTGGTCCCGAAACACTCGAAGCAGAGGTGGTGGGGATCGGCGCCCGCTATTAAGCCAGGGCACGAAGGACAGGCCCGGGTCTCTAGAAGTGGCGACTCCATGAAGGTACGATAACTTCTTTCTTCTTCTTTCAAACGTTTTACTTTTCTCTGTCAGGTGTTGTCCTGCTCGCTGAAGAGAAAAGGATGACAGTCAGGAGGCGTAGCCGCCTTATATACTGTGGGCCTGCGCGCGCATTCAGGTAGGCTCGCCCTGATTGGCTGGCTACGTTTATACAACTTCAGTGTGTGAGCGCTCGCGTATCATTGATGAGAGTAGTACCCATATAGTCCAGTAGAGGGTGGAGCCTGTGTGAGATAGAACCTACTTTCCTTTTGTTTTACAACACAAGTTTTCTCTTCTCATTCACGACATCATGACATGACTACCGTGAGTCTTAAAGGTAACCCTAACATTAATGACAGAGGTATTTTGCATCAAAATCTAAGTATTATATATGCAATCATTCGCTTAAGAGAAAATGCCTAATAATGCTTTACCGTGAAGTTTAAGTTTAAATTTGCACTGTTGACACTGCCATTACTTAATAAACCCTAATAAATGTGAGTTTTGTTTCTATGACAACAATATATTGACAACAAATGCGTAGTAATCAGCAGCAAACCGCTTCAACACGTGTATTTCGGTTTATTCACGGCATTCATTTTGTTATTCTACAGTATTGTTGTTTTATAGTTATTTGTTAATGTATATAACCCAATTTGTGTTCTTTGAAATAGAAAATATATCGCATTGTGTTTGTTACTTTCGTTGCAGTTGTATATGTCTTAAGTGTAATTTGGCTTGGCTTCCTATTTTTTATGGACATGCTTTTATTTTGAAGGAGAGTTAGTTATTTTGACTCAGAGATATGCTGTTAATCACAAATAGAAACAAATGATGTTGTTGCTATGGTAACACATCCACTTTCTGAGTCTAAACATTGTCATTAACCAAGCTTTTATTGGGATGAGCCTTCAGACTGAGGTTGATGAGTTGACTAAGTAGATAAAACTGACTGACCTCCTCCGTGGGACTGGAGTTCTCTCTCCCGGCGATCGAGCTCTGCCGCTTTCTTCTCCAGCTCCTCCTGCCTTCTCAACAACTCCGCCTGAACCCGTGCTTGGTCCTGACACAGAAATACTTGTTAAAGTGACTGTCCAACATCTGACAGGAGGTATTATATCCAATCAGGTAAGTAGTTAAGGTATTTTTCCACTTAGGTAAGCTCAGGGGTCTGCTAGTTTGAGAAGGAGGAAAAAAGGGGTTATAATTGGAAAGGCAAGGTGTTATTGTGGTTTACGCTTTTTCTCTTTAGGTTTAACCTATCTCTACATTTACACAGCATGAGAAAAGCTGGGGAAAGTTCCGAATTCACACTAGTCAAGACAAAGACACAATTCTTAAGATGGTAGACAGTACCTCATTGCGCCGCTGTTGTGCCATCAGAGAACAGATGAAAGAATGACGGAAAATAAGAAATGTGAACCAGAAACAAAAAGATAGAGAGTGACTGTAAATATGCTATAAAACTGCAGGCGATTCAATATATAAACAAGTACCTGACTCTGTTGCTGTGAGTAGGCTGGCGGCTCCTCTGTGGGTTTCATGATGGCAGGTTGTGTGTTCTGCTGCGAAGGTACAGGAGTCGCTTTGGGAACATTCCCAGGGGCCGCCTGTAAACCAGCATGGACTATTTTAATATATGTGCAACCTTAAGACAGACAGCAAATTTTAAATGTAATTAGGCCACAGTCATTTTTTGTCACTTTGTAGCTGAAGGGAGAAGTAGGGTAGTGGATAAAATGAGGTTAATAACTCAGAAGCACAGAAACAACTGGTAATCATTTAGTAAAGCTGACCGTTTTGGCATCTGTGAAGGGATTATACTCCTCCAGACCACCAGGAGGGGCAGACCGGGTCACCTGAGTCACTGAGGGATCCTACAGGACAGAAAAGGGACCATGATGGGTACTACTACAACCAAAAAATCAAAAGCTTATTTATTGTTGTTGTTAGATGACCGCATAATCACTTGGTCCAGTAATTCACTTGTTCTTGTCAGTTATTAATGTTGTGTTGACAGCAGGTAAGGTGGAACCAGAGACTAAGGTTTAAATGCAACACAATACAAATAATAACCTAACAATAAACAATGTAAATTGGTCTTGATATTGCGGCCATTTAAGACTTTAGGAATGGGATCAGGAGGGGAACTGGGAAACACCAGGGACATGTTTGCTAGGGAGGACAGTCTATGGTAGTGTCAGGTTGTGGTAATGTAAGGTTATGGTAGTGTAAGGTTATGTTAGTGTAGGGTGTAAGGTTATGGTAGTGTAAGGTTATGGTAGTGTAAGGTGGCGCACCATGTGACATGAAGAGCCAACAGTTTACTGGTTTTCATTCCAACCAAGACTCCACCCACTGGTTACCACACCTGCAGGGGAGGGACTTAACATTTAAATCACCCACTCAGGTGTGCTGTTAGGATGAAGAGCAGCAGACTGTCTTGGTTGAAGGTAAGATCAACTCAACTATAGCCTAAAGAAACAGCTTTTGCCTCCATCTAGCCTACAATAAAAAACAAACCAGCCTTTTCTGTACGATCAGATATGTAAGATGTAGAGAAATTACCCTTTTATATTATGCCACAATAAGATGAGCAGGAAGTCAATGTTTTAGTCAATGTTGTGTGCGACGTTTATGTTTGAATTGGAGCACTGATGTGTTTTATATAGAACTCCAATAACACGTTTAATGTCCAAGACCTGCGTGCCAGTGAGATTTGGATATAATCCTAAGCATACAATGCTCATAAGAGAGGTAACCATTCAGTTATCAAACTTATTTACCAAGTTAGCAGGTGACAGCGAGTGTTTACTGACGGTGGGCATCTAGCTAGCTAACATCATGTGTCTTTGTTCTTAGTTGCTATACATTTATCGCAACGTTGATAACAAACATCCTCAGCAACAGATTGTTAGCTGAGCCTTTACTGCCTCGTTTACTAAGTGAGCTGCCATATACCGTGTCAGTGATGAGATGAATATTATGAATGAGGATTAGCTTGTTCTGTTTCCCAGGAAACGCTCTAGCTAACTAGCTTGGACAGATAGCAGGGATGCTAACCTAAGACTGGCCTCATTGGGCTATGAAGCGTATGTAGGCTAGCAGGCTAGATGGCTCAGTTGGCTACCTGAAAGGGATTGCTGAAGTCCGGGTCTGCGAACGGGTTGCTGTCAAAATCGGACATTGTACAGCCTTTCTAATAACTGTTTCCTGTGTGGAAGAGCCCCCCGGTTCTCCAGGTAAGGTTCAGTCTCTTGATTCGACTGCTCTCTCTGTTTGCCCGCAGTCTTTCTCCGCCTCCTGCTGATGGAGACCCCTTGCTAAGCAAGCTAGCCAGTAGCACAAAAATGTCAGGAGCGGATGCGTGAAGAGCGTCAACTTCCTACGTCACTGCTTCAGCACCGCGGACAGCATGACGTCTGGACAGGTACAGAACATCCATAAACTGTGTATGAAAAGTACATCACAGTGAGAATAATATGCCCTTTTGTCTCGCTGTCTCGCATATAAAAATCATATTTATTATTAAAACTGAGGATTAGATTGGAATATATATATTGACTTGTCGGATACACACTTTCTCATTCAATCATGATTTTAATTTGAGACACATGGCAATGTAATGTGATTTTTTTGTATTTATTTTTTTATGTTGGGCCCCTATTGACGTCCTCCACTACCATCTCCCACCATCTGTGAGTGTTGCAGGCCCACCTACCCTGCCTCCAAGTTTACAACAAGTACAGTGCATAAAGCATTACATGGCATTTTCTTTATTCCCTCAGACACAAAAATCAATCAGGCCTCATTAGCTGGATTACTGCCTGGTCCCACAATTTGTTTGGTTGTTTGTTTGTTTGTTTGTTTGTTTGTTTGTTTGTTTGTGGTCATTTAAATAAACATGTCTTTGTTTAAGGTTAGGTTTAAAACACATGGCCCACAACCCATGGCCCACTTATGAAAGAACAACCTGATTATTTGGATCTGCTTTAGATCACATTGTGATCACATTTCGATCGCATTACTGTATACTTTAGTGGTTTACATTCTCTGGCTTCTGTAGACCTGACCCTCTGGCAGTTGCCTATTTTCCCCAGTTTAATCCGGCCTTAATACAATATTTAAAAAATGTTTACCTTAAGTCATGGGTGTCCAAACCTTTTTCACTGAGGGCAACATATAGAAAAATATATGAAGCGCTGGGCCACTTACTAGAGCAGTGTTTCTCAAACTTTTTCATACCAAGGACCACTTAACCAATAAAACAACACTCACGGACCACCTAACTCCACAAATATCCCAAAACAAAAGGCCTGCTTACCATTCCAATAGTTTATAACAAATTACACCCTAATAATGACAGTTTAACTTCTCTACATCGCCTCGTTCACACATAAAATTAACAATACAAATACAACTACAGATTATATAAGCATTCCGTTCAAATGTGATTTAAAATGCTCACAGGTTTTACACCTCTTATGAAATGTAGACTACATTTATTACGGAGTTTATGTCCGAGCCAACGGAAAAGGTTGGAAAAGGTTGTTGGCTACTGAGAGAAATGCAAAATACACCGCATGTAGTACGACACAAACCTCCGTTGTGGATTTTTAAAACAAAATACAGTAAAACTGGTCGCAGGCCCAAGTTTAACTTTCTGAGGTCTAAGCCATTTTTTCACATGTTAGGCTTGCCTGGGCTTTTTTTTGTAAAAATACTATTAAAACATGAACCTTGGTGACCATCGGGCTGGTCTGCATGGTCTGCCTACAAAACAAAAGTAAAAAAACGTTTATGCATCCCCAACAACAGCCTCTGATCATCAACAGACTTCATGCAATGCTTCATTGGATGCATATATTAGATAATAATCTCTATCTAACTCCTAAAACATCTAAATCTACTTCCAGCATGGATAAATGTTCATAAAATACATCCATTGTTTGTTCTATATGCTTCTTGAAATCTAAAAAAAACCACATCGTTTTTCTAGAACAGATTACAAATCGCCTGAAAATGGTACAAACAAGTGGCAACATGTGTGACGAAGGTGTTGTGCTGGGCTATATCATGCAATCGAAAGTGAAACTTAAGTTATAAGTTACCAACTCAATAAAATGTAGATCAATTATGCTTGATACTTGAATATGCTTTAAGAAAGGAAAAAAAACAGCCTCCATCACAGCTGTCACTTGGGTTTTATTTATTTTGTTACACAAATTGTTGGCAGCTCATTCCTTAATATAGAAACCTCAGATTGCTTACAATAAAGGGAAATATGAAGGGTCTATTTCAAGCTTGTTATGCAAATAAGTTATTTGGCTTTTTTATGAAGTAAGATTTGTTAGAAAATGTTTTGAACTTTGACTAAATGTATTTGAAAAGTGGGCTTCTTAACACATGAATACTACGGTGTGATTGAGTTTACATATATATTCAAGAACACACATTTTTACGGGCCGCAGTTGGCCCCCGGGCCATAGTTTGGACACCCCTGCATTAAGTATTTCCATTATTGTGTTACTGCATGTTTTCAGTCAAGCCCCAAATAAATAAAAGTATATTTCTTTCACTGCACACACTGTATAGATTGAATGGCAAATCTCGCCCACATGGTATTTGAAGTTTCGAAAATAAAACAAGGTACATTTATAAATGTATATGGTTGGTATTATTTGTATTACTGTCCATGCTTACTTTGTCACACAGTATTTGAGCTCCTGTAGGTCAAACTCCTCAGCAATCTCCTCCACCTGATGATTAAGTTAATGATGATAATGATGATAATGATGATGACGAGGATGATATATGGAAGTGTCTGCTGCCCAGTTGATCTCTTGCCTGTGAGAAAGAGCTGGAAAGGCGAACCCAGTGTTCTCATTTGATGATATGTAACACTGACCTCTTTTTCAGCAGCAATCCCAGACAATTTACTGAAAATCATTTTATTTAACTTGTCTCTATAAGAAGAATCGGACTATATTGGCTTTGGGCTTCTGTTAGTTGCCCAAAATGGCCACTTGGGGGAGCTATGATTCAATATGTCTGCTCAACCAGTTCTGCTAAATCCTTTCTCATTTGCCATCAATTTATTTTCATTCAAACAAAGGGTGACCATGTGAAGAACATCACATCAGTTGACAGCCTGTAAATGTGATTTAAACATTTAAGCACCATTTACCCAGATTAAGTTTCAATTGAAGAACAAATGCTATTAGGGGGAAATCGTACAGTATGTGGTAAATGAAGGAGGTTAAATATTCCCTTTTATTGTTTGATTCCTATTGCTCATTTTCAAACAAAGGCACTGTGTTACTTTGGTTTTATAGTAGATAACATGTTATACCTTATAAACTGTGTTTTGATAATAAGTTACTAATCACCTAATAACCCTAATGTGCATCTTATGTACTGTACCTAGATAATGTTTTGCAGTGATAAACTCTAGATAAACACAAACTGGATTCATTACAATTCAACTCCTGTCCACAAACACACACAAAATGAGCATCAGTTCCTTCCCTAATCTTGTATTAATGGACCCAATCACAGACTCTATGAATAATCAATGGTCAGTGGTCTGCAACCACAGTGCTGAGACCTTGAGTGAAACTGAATTGTTCTAATAAGACTCACACACACACACACACACACACACACACACACACACACACAGACATATACACTCACACACACCTAGAGGCACTAATGCACTGTGGGCTGAGAATACGTCACATGGTTTGTTTGCTGCAGAATGTGAAAGATAAACATGCTGTGCAACGTTTGTGTCTGTATGTACTGTAGATGTGTGTGTGTGTGGAGAAGAATAGCGTGAAAGCAGGGCGATGTCTGTCCTTGCCCACTCTCTCCTGCCTTTCTATGCTGCTTTCCACAGATGACTGTGAGGAAACAACCGCTTTGGCTAATAGCTGCAGCATTAGTCTCTTAACCAGCTGGTCATGGCCATTTAGAAATGTTCATTAGGCCGCGGACCAGAGTGGATAGGTGTGATGGTTCACTCCCAGATGTTGACTGTAAGAGACAGAGAGAGGAGAGAGAGGCAGGCAGAAGGACAGACGGAGAGGAAGAGAGGCAATTTACTGGCCAACATGACGCCCAAGTGTTAAAAGCCACAGATGCAATTATCATCATATTGCCCTGAATAAGAACCTTGTGCATAATTAGATCTCATTAAGGTCTATGAGTGTTATTTTAGGGCCCTGAAAAGGTTGGATAAGCAGGACTTGATATTATGGGTTATTAATGCTGCGACATCTGCTGCCATTCTGGCAATAGGCTGATAGTTGTCTAAATGGGCAGGGAAGTCAGAATTGAAATCATGTTACAACCATATAGTAAAATATAATATAGAATGCAATATTTTTCTATAAATATGTATATGGCACGGTATAGATATGGTTTAAAATATGGCTTTATATATGTTGTGTGTGTATGCTTGTGAATTTGTTTGTGCCTTCAACCAGTCGGAGCACATTTCACACCGCAGAGGGAAACTGCGCGCTGTCGCCGGAAAAGCGATTGATTCTCCATTTCCATATTAATGAGCAGATTTGTTAAGAGCCTGCAGGAGTGGGAGAAAATAACAGGGTCTTCATAGGGCACGACATTTATAAATAAAGCTGATGCAGAGAAAAATGGAAATTAAACCTTTTAGTTTAATAAATTTGAGGCGTCCGCAGCAAAGCGAGCAATTTGCATTTCCATTTGTGGCCAAATAATGAGAGTGCGGGTCCATGATGAGCTCGCTGGTGCTGCTTTTGGGTCTCAAACAGTCAGACAATCACTCCAGCGTGCAGCCCTCCACATCAATGTCATTAGCTCAGGCCTGTTAACTTCTACTTGGCTTTCTAAGATGACTTGGTGAACTGCAGATTCCTATTGTCAGTGTGAAAGAGCAATAGCAATATGCTCAAAGTAAAATGTCTCTTCTTATGCATTTCCTGTATTTCCCAACCTGGATGTGTCATTATCTTTTTTTTTTCTTGAATATTCAACATTCTATATATTTTCAGATGTCATTTTAAAATTATCTTTTGTTGTTCTAAAACAACTCTGTCAGAAACAGTCTCTGTCTTTCGCTTTGCCGTAAACACTTGCACTTAGACACACACAACGCGCAACTCTTACACACACTCGCACACACAAAGCTTCACTGATTGAATTTATTGGGGAATGGATGTTGACTAGACCACTCCAAGTAGGCTAGATTGTTGTTGTTCCCAGATTGACAGACAGACCCAGAGCGGCTGATTGAAAGTGCCTTTTAGCTTGCTCTCACTGTATATTTGATTTAGCAAAATGGAAGGGGAGTCCAGTCTTCTCCCGGGATGCAAACACAAGTCCCTGTGTTTGTGTGGGTGTGTTTGTGTATTTGTGTGTGGTATGCG